AATAAAGTGTTATCATCAGACCATGCTTTAACCCGAGGATAATAAAGTGTTATCATCAGACCATGCTTTAACCCGAGGATAATAAAGTGTTATCATCAGACCATGCTTTAACCCGAGGATAATAAAGTGTTATCATCAGACCATGCTTTAACCCGAGGATAATAAAGTGTTATCATCAGACCATGCTTTAACCCGAGGATAATAAAGTGTTATCATCAGACCATGCTTTAACCCGAGGATAATAAAGTGTTATCATCAGACCATGCTTTAACCCGAGGATAATAAAGTGTTATCATCAGACCATGCTTTAACCCGAGGATAATAAAGTGTTATCATCAGACCATGCTTTAACCCGAGGATAATAAAGTGTTATCATCAGACCATGCTTTAACCCGAGGATAATAAAGTGTTATCATCAGACCATGCTTTAACCCGAGGATAATAAAGTGTTATCATCAGACCATGCTTTAACCCGAGGATAATAAAGTGTTATCATCAGACCATGCTTTAACCCGAGGATAATAAAGTGTTATCATCAGACCATGCTTTAACCCGAGGATAATAAAGTGTTATCATCAGACCATGCTTTAACCCGAGGATAATAAAGTGTTATCATCAGACCATGCTTTAACCCGAGGATAATAAAGTGTTATCATCAGACCATGCTTTAACCCGAGGATAATAAAGTGTTATCATCAGACCATGCTTTAACCCGAGGATAATAAAGTGTTATCATCAGACCATGCTTTAACCCGAGGATAATAAAGTGTTATCATCAGACCATGCTTTAACCCGAGGATAATAAAGTGTTATCATCAGACCATGCTTTAACCCGAGGATAATAAAGTGTTATCATCAGACCATGCTTTAACCCGAGGATAATAAAGTGTTATCATCAGACCATGCTTTAACCCGAGGATAATAAAGTGTTATCATCAGACCATGCTTTAACCCGAGGATAATAAAGTGTTATCATCAGACCATGCTTTAACCCGAGGATAATAAAGTGTTATCATCAGACCATGCTTTAACCCGAGGATAATAAAGTGTTATCATCAGACCATGCTTTAACCCGAGGATAATAAAGTGTTATCATCAGACCATGCTTTAACCCGAGGATAATAAAGTGTTATCATCAGACCATGCTTTAACCCGATTTCTCGGTTTTAACATCTTTAATGAATTAGCGCAAGAGAACATGTATGTCGGTCATAAGTAGCTATACAGACCATGTAATATGTTTCCACTGCAATAACGGTTTGCACTCCAGGTGTTCACGATGTTTTATAATACATGTATTGAAATTCACAGATAACGGAGTACAGTGTATTTTTGTCAGGCTGATAAATGTTGAACACTTCAAATCCTCTTAGCATGACCTCTGTTGTTGTTGAGGACAAAGTGTTCTAGATCTTACACAGTATTGTCTCACACAAAGGGTGCCAAAAATAGCCCTCCCTGACAGTGTGTTACAACAATGTAGAATTGTGTACAGATTTTAATTGAGAAAAAGACAGTCTGGTACACTAGCATTGTTTTTTACCTACATTTTACAACAGCCTGTTCCTTTACGAGCTGGGAAAATATAGCATTATTTCAAATGCGATTGGGACTATATTCCTCATATTTAGCTCATTTTGGGAAAATAAGGCACTTTTTATAAGCTAGGGGAAACAGCCTATATTCGTCTGTAAAACTAAGCAAAACAATCACTGACTAGGCACTCATTCTTATTACTTATAGTCAACATTATCAAATATCCAAAGGCCGAGTGGTTAAGGCATCTGACCATCTAGGGTCATTAGCCCTAGCCCTCCACTGCTTGGTTGTAGGTTCAACGCCTACGTGGGGCAATTGCCAGGTACTGACCACCGGTCAGTGTTTTTTCCGGGTACTCCAGTTTTCATCAACAACCAAAACCTGGCACATTTGACTATAGCTGTTAAAACATAAACAATTAAACCAAGCCCTTGGCAAGTGAACCAACGTTTTGCACTTGAGCTCTAAAACTGGTTGTGCTGGGTGTCGGGCAAGTGGATTTTTACACCCCTGCTCATATCGATTCCGTACATTTATAATTTCTTGATGGCAACCTTGGTAAAGTGTAGGATTTGAAAATTTATAGGTCTCGAGTCTGACCCCTCCAGTATTTATGCTTCTTTCTTTTATTTCTATTTTCAATATTAAAATCAAATTTTTAACAACTACAATTCCGTAAAATAATGAAAAAATAATAAAAGGACTTCAACAAATATTTCATAACAGTGAAAAAAGTTATGAATTGAAGTTTAACATTCACGACAATGGTTAGGACACAGGGTTTAACTTGTCTGTACCCATTACCTTATAATTAATATCTGCACACTGTATCATACATTCCCAGGCATGTCCCAAAGCCAATATCCACTTAAAAGCCATCTAGTAGGGCCAGTATACACACTGTACAGGTCATTAACACAGAAACACTTCCCTCTCTATCTTCTGAACAGGGCATGCAGAAAAATTACCAAACTCAGACATGCTGCCACCTCAGGCACCCAATCTTTGGGAAGCATGAGTTGTATGCACTCACTGTGATTTATAAAGTACACAGACCTCGTCACTCATCATTTCCTGCCAAGTGGCCACTTACAACAGCGAACCACTGTTCACAAGTTAACAAATACTCATCCCTTCAAATCCAAGGTTTTATAACATATCAACAAACAAGTCTGGTTTCCTTGTATTTTGAATCCATACACCTTGATCACCACAAGGGCTATTAGCAAACCGACCCTTAAATGCACACTGGCCCTTAAATGCACACCCTGAAGTTTGTTGGGTGTAGCACCAGCCCCTAATATATTGAGAGTATACGATACACATCTTACTGAATTATAGCTGAAATCCTTCAGCAAGTAACAAACCACAGCAGCTGTCTTAAATCTTTCGCCCCTATGTAACTTTAGTAGACTCTATACTATGCATTGATATGGATGAGTCCATTATGGTCTACAGTGGTGAAAGGGTTTTAATTCCTGAAACTTCAATACCTGTTTCATTCCTGCAAAGTACAAACGATGTTGGCCCATAACCTGAATGGCTCAGTCAACTCAATGGTGGCTTTCTTAGATATCATTGAATACATTTATCATCCTGGTGATCTGAGTTTGATCAACGCTAAAATAAAATATATAGTTACACTAATAAAGGTACAAGGAGTATTAGTTAAATTCTCAAATGCGAGAATAGGAATCAATTCCTATGTTCAACTATGCAATTGTGTGCTCAAAGATATCACTTACAGCTAATGACACAGACAAAAAGGGTTAACACTGAAAATGATATTTCTCCCAAAATAAAATTGTGAAAATGTGATTTTCAAAATTCTTTATTGCCGGAATAAGAAAAGTCTTTTTGACTGTGGATACCGATAGGCTTTTACAAAATGATACTTGGGAGTGATAAACATTTATATAGAGCAGGTCACATCAGAAAAATGATAAAATATCACTGCAATAAAGTACAAAGTTATTCCGTACACTTCAATCATATGATAAGAATTCTCACTGACAATCAACAAAATATACCAAAGAATGTCAATTCCCTATATACACCCTAGTTAACATTACCCCATGTCCAGGAGACAGTGAAGGTGGGGAGGAATGAGTGACCCGGGGTTATAATATTCACAATTTTGATAAAGCACCTTTAAACCTTTCCATCCATAAAGGGGATTGGATTCTTTCATGGGTCTGAGGAAGAACATTGTTGAATTTTTGTCACTTTGACCCCTTTGGCTCAGCCATTGAGGCCCCTGGAGGGTCAGACACTACTTGAGTTTAAATTCTGATCCTCATCATTCATTTTAGGAAATGTTGGTGAAAATTCACCTGTAAGTTTGATAGAAGAAGTATTGTCTTGTACTTCTCCAGACATGTGACCTTTTATGGCCCTGTCCCTTTAGCTTTCTGTGGATAGGGGATGCAGACCCATTTTGAGTATAATTTTGATCTCACCACAGGCTAATAATGATTACCACCATGCCAAAGTGCATTGAAATCTGACAGTTTCTAAACAAAAGCAAAAAATGTGGGTTTTTTTCATGTTTTGCACTAAGTGGCCCCGTATGATCTCCAATATGGGGTCAGCCCCTACCTATATATGTGCAAGAATAAATTCTGATGATCATCTCAGCATCGATCGTTCTATGAATAGTTGGTGAAAATTCACATTTTGTTTCAAAAAAAGGTATTTTTAAGGCTTTGCACTCTGTGATATATAGAAAAAAAATGTGTCTAAATGTGTAGGAAATAATGAAATCATCAACATCAGTAAAATAGTTTAAAATATTCTTGGATAAGTTGAAAAATAAATTATTCACATTTTAACAGCCCCATTTTAATGTTCCAAATTTTATTTGACATCACCTCATCTTAAACCATAAACATCAAATAAAATCTCATGTAACTTTAATATGCAGAATATTGGCATCAAATCTTCCAAAATTAATAAGTACCATATATAATATTAAATTATCAAATTTAATGTATATATATATTATGTGTCTAAAATGTCTAAATTCTAACCCTTCGGAAAAACGAGTTATATACCACGCATCATTGAATACAAACTAATGTATGCGTATCGTTATGTTAACAACAAGATTACCGTTATATAACTAACGGTATATCATAATATATATAGTATAATGAAAAGGGACAGTTATAGCGAAAAACCGCGAGTTAGTGAGAAAAACATTCGGTAATAGTAAATACCACAATGTGCTTGTCACGAATCAAATGGCAGTCGTAGTATACGACCGAAAATCCAATATCCTGTCTTGGTGTAACAATCCTTTATCAGCTGTCAAAATCGATATTGACACATTCGACCTGTCATCGCTTGTTTCATCCAGTTTTTCCCGAATTAATTCTATTTTTGATACAAACTATTTTTTCAGGTCGACTAGGATTTCCTAAAATACCTATTTCAACATTAAAAAGTGTGACATATCTCACCTCCATTTCATGCCATTCTCTGTTCCCTGACAAAGGATCTCTGTTGTGTATTTACCCGACAGTTCTTGTCCAGTCATGGTTGAAATGTAAATAGAGACCACATGGGACATTAATTACGACCGCAGTGCACTTCCGGTCTCTATAACATTCCGCTTTCCGGCGAATTGTCCCAAAATTTTGTTTCAATCTTCATGTACTATTTAAGAATAATTTCTGAAAACTCACATTGGATAATGTGAGACTTGTAAATAGTACTTTTTAATTAATAAAAAAGCAGAAAGTGTAAACAATTAAATTGCTACATTATGCACTATTTCATGTCCATATCATTCCGCAGCTGAAGAACGACCATCCCGCCATTGCAGAATTAACAGGTACCCCCCCTCTAAGGGCTATTGGTGAATAATGTCAACATAACCACATGGTCACTGCTATTTTGGTTAATATAGTTGTCAAGTTAACATACGTTTGAAACACATTTGCAAGTCTTCCTGAATTAGTCGTGTTGAGGCGGGGGATTTGTGGGGGGGGTCTTGCTATTCAAGTTAAGCTATTTCAAGTTTAAAAGAACAGTCGTGTTTTCTTACCGGTGGCTACAGTAATCATACGAAATTCGAGCTAAAGTAAAAGCGGGGTTAAATCTGTTCCGACATACACGATCTGTCAATCAACAGCAATGTTAAATATTACAGAACATCATTAATTGTGGAATCACTGCAGTACCGTTCTTGCCAACTGTAGTGTCCAGTTATTATCCCTACAACTTCTAGGGCATTGGCGGTTAAATTTAGACATTTCGACACCGCAAGGTTTCTGAGGAAGAATGGCGTTTCGGCATTTTAAGTCTATGATGTCAGATTAGCATCTTATGATATATACTTACCAGTGGAAAACGTTAAAAAGCGTAAATATTTTGATGGGCAGTCACGAAGACCTTAGAAATGAAAATGCAACGGAAAGACAAATAAATGGAAGAAAACAAAAGAATAAAAATGTGTAATTGAAAACCAGTAAAAGATAAAGCATGGTTACAGAGTTTATTTTCCCGTTAACAAGGTCTTTACCCAATTAATGCAAGTGCCAACAGCTTTGGGAAGTACCCAAGTTTACCTCCAGAGGTGGAAGCAGTTGAAGCTGGAAGTATAATTACTATTAATCGACCGTTGCGTTCTCCACTCCTGTTCCAACTTTCAGGCAGCAATATGTGTATTTAAACAAATTTGACCTACAGTCGTGCCGTATCAAAAAAAGGAGAGAGAGAAAAATATATAAAAAAACAGTAAATCTACAAAAATTGCAAATACTTTTGGGTGCAAATACTGTAGAATGTTAGCCACAATACATACATTTCAAAATTTTGTTCTTGGCCAAAAGTGTTACACAAGAGCCAACTGTGCTATGTGCCGAGAAACTACTATTTGATGATCATGTGGGGCCCTCCGTAACTATGTGCATTAAAAAACTGAAATGGTCCGTAAAAATTTAGAAATTAAAGTTTTATAATTATTGTGACTATAATTCAATCCAATCTGTATACTAATTGTGTGATTCAGTCTACTGACAGTTGTGTTGAGATTTGAGGAGATTCATTTTTACTATCTCTGCAATTTATGGTCCTATATCTTGGTTTTTAGTGCAAAGCAAAAATTGTATTAAAATGAGTTAATTGTGACCCAGTAAGGAAAGAGATGCCGTGAAATTCAGCATTGGAGAAATATAATTTACATCAGAAGTAGAGGAAGTTTCTCAAATTTTGTTCTTACAAAAAAAAGATGCAAAATCAGTAAAATGTCTATAGTATTAATAAATATAACCAAATTTAAGTTAACAGTACTATAGAAATATTAAGAAATATCAAATGAAACATTTTGTAATCAAATGACTATAGTTCCACTCCTGCTTAATTTTCCTGTCATCTTCATAAAAGTAAATTAAGATTGAGGTGTAATATCCCTGAATCCCTTTCTATTGGTCTTATTTACTCCATACCTGATAAAGATGCCTCTCATTGCAAGCGATCTACATTGTAAGGGTGTCCACTGTTTCAGTTGCCCAGTAAAGATGATGGACCTTGGACCCGGCTCGGGCAACACAATGTTGTCTGGACTTCGTCTCAACTTCGAGGGGTTTGATGATGATGTCTCGAAGGAGAGCCATGATTTAACAGTAGATGCCTCGTAAGTGTATTACGGTAAAGTGAACCACCATGATTTATCACCCCTGAAGACACATTTGAACTCTTCCAATGCAAAGGTTGGAATAGTTCATTATGAAATGTCAGGGGTGAGTGAGTTAACAGTAGACGCCTCGTAAGTATTTGTATTACTGCAAAGCGTACCACTGCACCAATATATGATCATGAAGAAAAAATTCCACTTTGCTGTTTGATTCTTAGACCTAGAAGAGTTGCTGCCCCACAATGTATTCATCTCTCATTTTGATGTATATAGGATAGGAACATTGGTGTAAGACTGGCAGTGTATAGGTCCTTATATCAAACTATGAAGTGTGTTTTTTTTAATTAATCAAATTCCCTAAAATTATAATTCTGTAAAATGCACAACAAGATGTGATTTGTATGATTCCTTTCTGTGATAAATAACTTCAATAAGTAGTTCATCATAGTTACAATAGTAAATATATTTACCTTCACAGTACATTTGTATGTAGACATACTGATACGTTCGTAATCTTCAATTCAACAATCCATGAATCGAAATAGTAAACAGTTGCTGACTGTAACTGCCCTTATGGGCTGACCTGTGATACGAACTGTCATCTGATATAAGTTGTTTTGTGTTTTTCAGTTTCTCTAATCCCGATAGTTCTTTCATCTCGTCACATAGCCAGGGACTGGGAGATTTGGCACAAGGTATGGTTTACCCCTACACGGTTCCCATGTCGTTTGATTTCAGTAGAAATATGAGTTCATGCAAATCTGATGAACAAATATATGTGGTATTGGTATCGGATTGCATGAACTCATTCAGTGTGTGGGTATATTTCATTGCTTTTCAAAAAATCCAACTCGACAACAGTGGTGGACAAATGACGTCAACAATGGATGATGTCACGTTACCAAAGCCCAAAACGGTGCTGAAATGTTCAGACATTCAATTGGAGCAGTAGGTAACAATTGATGAATTCAGCCAAAAAGTAGTTCTGGCCTCTTTGTGTAATACAACATCTTGTATTATCATGATACTGGGAAACAGTGTAGTAAATTACAGATGAATATGATAAATAATTCTCAGATCACAAACTGCTGTTGTGATAAAAATGTGAAATTGTGTTTCAAAGTTTTCAGTCGTACGTGTTCCCTATCACAGGTATGAGTTAGTAATGTGTTGTACCATTGTAAACACTACATTGATTTGTGTTTCAGTCACACAGATAACTAGTAACGAAGCGGATGGAACTGCACCTTTGGAGGTTTGTAGAAAAAAGATTCTAGTTGTCTTACATTTTCCATCACTTTTCCATAAAAACAGCAGCAAACATTGGGATTTTTGTCTCGCCGTCACAAAGTGGAAGCGCGACTAAGGTGTTGCGGTTTTCGCAACGGCGGCAATATTAAGTTTTTGCCTTTAAGTTAAGTTTCTCTGAAAGTATAAGTGCTAGACCAATGCAACTAAACTTGTACCATAGATGCAGCTTAGGTATAGTACATCTCAACCCATGCATCAAATGCTGGATGTGGCCTACCTTTCATGGTCCATTGACTTTGTCAGCATCTCCATCAACATTAAGGTCTTGCTTTTAAGTTAGATTCTCTGATATGTGTATTGATGGTCAAGGGGGCCATAGGCGAGACATATCAATCCGAATGTCTTGTGTATATAAAAATCTTGTGCCTGATCACATCAGTGATGTCCCTAGTTTACACTTGATAACTAGGGGTGTTATCACGGTGTGACTGCAGGTACGGAGCCAAAGGTTAAGTTGTATGTGGTCTTCTATGGGTTGACAAACCTGCAAATAAAATCTGCCTATACGTTGAATGTCACAAGAAAAGCATGTATTGATAAAAAAGAGGTAAAGCCATGTGAGCTTAGGCCGTACTGCAGCGTCCATCGTCAACTTTTTAGGTCACCTGAGCTTTAGCCATTTTGAAAAACTATTTCAAACTTACAGTCAAGTTCTGCTTGGCCGATTAAACTGAAACTTTGTAGGAATGATCGACTTATGATCCTGACAAAGTTTTGTTATTTTTCAGGTCGATCAGAAACCCAATTTGGCTGCCATGGCTGCTATTTTGAAAATACCTATTTCAAAGTTCTAATAGGCCGATCTAACTGAAAACCTTAAGGCCCATGGGCCTCTTGTTCTTTTAAACGACTTCTATTGAATAACTAGAGGACCTAGGGTCATGATATTTGGCCAGTAGGTACCTGGGATAGAGTGCTATAAAGTTTCCTCATTAAAATGACCTTGACCTACTTTCAAGGTCACAGAGCTCAAAAATGTTAAAAACTTCAAACAACAATATCCTAAGAACCATTTGGACTAGAGTCATGGTACTTGGGTATGTTATGTAAACCAGCAGTGTGAATCTTTTTCTTAAATACAGTAATGAGGTCATATGTCAACTTTAAGTGCAAGTCGGGGGTCAAATGTCAACATGGGTTAAAAGCTTTAACAGTCTTCTCCAATTCCACAAGGCCCAGGGTCATAATATTTGGCCAATAGGTACCTTGGATGGAGTGCTATAAATTTCCTTTTTAAAATGACCTTGACCTACTTTCAAGGTCACAGGAGTCAAAAATGTTAAAAACTTCAAATGACGATATCCTAAGAAGCAGTTGGTCTAGAGTCATAATACTTGGGTATGTTATGTAGACCAGCAGTGTGAATCTTTTTCTTTATTACAGTAATGAGGTCAAATGTCAACTTTAAGTGCTAGCTTGAGTCAAAGGTCAACGTTGGTTAAATGCTTTGAAATTACAATTTCAAATTTCAAACAACAATATCTTAAGCGTTTAAGAGATGTTAAAACGTCTTGTTTCTCTAGTTACCAAATTTGGTCTGAAGTTACCTATATGTCAGTTTCATGTAACAAAAGAACCAGGTGAGCGATACAGGCCCTCTGGGCCTCTTGTTTCAAAGTAAAATGATAGGTTAAAGATTAATTTTAAAGAATGATGGTGAATATGTGAGAACAAAGTATTGTGTTGACATGAATATCCAAAGTGTTTCAACTATTTGTATTGAGAATTATTTATCAAAACCAATTTAAGAATGACTTTGGTATTGAATAATGTGAAATGGCTGGATGAATATTTGATTTTGATTGGAACAAATGAAAAGAACTGACATGAATACAAATAAAATTTCATTGGTTCAGAGTGTGAAGAAGAAGGGAGGATGGCCGAAGGGTAAGAAGAGGAAGCGAGTACGGGACACCAACGCACCAAAGCCACCTCTGACAGGTTACGTACGGTTTCTGAACGAGCGACGCGAGACGTTAAGAAAAGAAAATCCGAGTACAACTTTCACAGACCTGCTGCGACTATTAGGTGCTGAGTGGTCCAAACTTCCTCAACATGATAAACAGGTAGGCTCCTAGACAGTTGTCCTTTAACATTATACAGGTACTGACCAAAGGGAGGTAACACCTTAACATAAAACAGGTACAGAACTTAGCTATTTTGTTGGTGGAAAACAGTTGATACAAAAGATAATTCATCAATAATGATTGCTCAAAATTTACATGATCAGGGTTCATCCAGTTATAGTATTACTGGGAAAACAGAAAGGCTTTGGCTGTAGCCTGGTAGGGATTAGGTACAGAACAGTCGAGGCAAAAGTAAAATCTCGGGTCTGATGTGGAGGGTTGGGTGGGTGCAATAGGTTTGGTCTGCCAGCTTCTGATATTTGCCTGACCAACCAGTGCTAAATTCTACTGAATATTACCAAGTTCACAGGGTAGCGTTTTATTAATAGTCTAATAACTGCTGATGACTAGGAAGACACAACCTAAAAGAAAGAGCAGGGAAGTAAGCTGATAAAATATAGATCCCAAGTGTTGACATGGAGGCAGCAAACCAGTTTTGCTTTCTTTAATGACACTAAGCAAAAGACAAAGGAAAAGCCACTCAATTCTGAAAGGGGCCATTAACTCATTCACCCGTGAAAGTTCATAATGAACTATTCCAACCTTTGAAATTGGAAGAGTTCAAATGTGTCTTAAGGGGTGAATGAGTTAATAACAAAAAGGTAAGGTATGATGTTCCACATTCCTTCATCTGCACTTACTTGAAATGTATTCCCTGTGATATCATAGTTTGACCCTTGTTGACCCTGTCCTTTGACCTTATTACCTTTGTTACAGAGGTACCTAGACGAGGCTGAAAAGGACAAGGAGCGGTACATGAAGGAGATGGAGAGCTACCAAAAAACAGAAGCGTATAAATTGTTTCGCGAGAAAAAAATGAAAGGTTTGAATATTTGAATGTCTCCCTATAGTCGGGATATGTTATCGTCCTGAAGAGTGCAATTTCAACAAAATACTGTTAAACGTTGATGAACTGATTACTTTTTATCATTACCTTCAATAGACACAATATCATAATGCTAGAAGTTAATGACTGTTGCACTTATAAGGACATTGAAATACATTAGTAATTAAATGACAATTGATTTGGTAAAAATGATGATATATCAGGATGTAAATATACTACAACCCTGACTGTTGATTATAATACATTTGTCCTACCATTGGTCCTGTATACTACAACCCTGACTGTTGATTATAATACATTTGTACTACCATTGGTCCTGTATACTACAACCCTGACTGTTGATTATAATACATTTGTACTACCATTGGTCCTGTATACTACAACCCTGACTGTTGATTATAATACATTTGTACTACCATTGGTCCTGTATACTACAACCCTGACTGTTGATTATAATACATTTGTACTACCATTGGTCCTGTATACTACAACCCTGACTGTTGATTATAATACATTTGTACTACCATTGGTCCTGTATACTACAACCCTGACTGTTGATTATAATACATTTGTACTACCATTGGTCCTGTATACTACAACCCTGACTGTTGATTATAATACATTTGTACTACCATTGGTCCTGTATACTACAACCCTGACTGTTGATTATAATACATTTGTACTACCATTGGTCCTGTATACTACAACCCTGACTGTTGATTATAATACATTTGTACTACCATTGGTCCTGTATACTACAACCCTGACTGTTGATTATAATACATTTGTACTACCATTGGTCCTGTATACTACAACCCTGACTGTTGATTATAATACATTTGTACTACCATTGGTCCTGTATACTACAACCCTGACTGTTGATTATAATACATTTGTACTACCATTGGTCCTGTATACTACAACCCTGACTGTTGATTATAATACATTTGTACTACCATTGGTCCTGTATACTACAACCCTGACTGTTGATTATAATACATTTGTACTACCATTGGTCCTGTATACTACAACCCTGACTGTTGATTATAATACATTTGTACTACCATTGGTCCTGTATACTACAACCCTGACTGTTGATTATAATACATTTGTACTACCATTGGTCCTGTATACTACAACCCTGACTGTTGATTATAATACATTTGTACTACCATTGGTCCTGTATACTACAACCCTGACTGTTGATTATAATACATTTGTACTACCATTGGTCCTGTATACTACAACCCTGACTGTTGATTATAATACATTTGTACTACCATTGGTCCTGTATACTACAACCCTGACTGTTGATTATAATACATTTGTACTACCATTGGTCCTGTATACTACAACCCTGACTGTTGATTATAATACATTTGTACTACCATTGGTCCTGTATACTACAACCCTGACTGTTGATTATAATACATTTGTACTACCATTGGTCCTGTATACTACAACCCTGACTGTTGATTATAATACATTTGTACTACCATTGGTCCTGTATACTACAACCCTGACTGTTGATTATAATACATTTGTACTACCATTGGTCCTGTATACTACAACCCTGACTGTTGATTATAATACATTTGTACTACCATTGGTCCTGTATACTACAACCCTGACTGTTGATTATAATACATTTGTACTACCATTGGTCCTGTATACTACAACCCTGACTGTTGATTATAATACATTTGTACTACCATTGGTCCTGTATACTACAACCCTGACTGTTGATTATAATACATTTGTACTACCATTGGTCCTGTATACTACAACCCTGACTGTTGATTATAATACATTTGTACTACCATTGGTCCTGTATACTACAACCCTGACTGTTGATTATAATACATTTGTACTACCATTGGTCCTGTATACTACAACCCTGACTGTTGATTATAATACATTTGTACTACCATTGGTCCTGTATACTACAACCCTGACTGTTGATTATAATACATTTGTACTACCATTGGTCCTGTATACTACAACCCTGACTGTTGATTATAATACATTTGTACTACCATTGGTCCTGTATACTACAACCCTGACTGTTGATTATAATACATTTGTACTACCATTGGTCCTGTATACTACAACCCTGACTGTTGATTATAATACATTTGTACTACCATTGGTCCTGTATACTACAACCCTGACTGTTGATTATAATACATTTGTACTACCATTGGTCCTGTATACTACAACCCTGACTGTTGATTATAATACATTTGTACTACCATTGGTCCTGTATACTACAACCCTGACTGTTGATTATAATACATTTGTACTACCATTGGTCCTGTATACTACAACCCTGACTGTTGATTATAATACATTTGTACTACCATTGGTCCTGTATACTACAACCCTGACTGTTGATTATAATACATTTGTACTACCATTGGTCCTGTATACTACAACCCTGACTGTTGATTATAATACATTTGTACTACCATTGGTCCTGTATACTACAACCCTGACTGTTGATTATAATACATTTGTACTACCATTGGTCCTGTATACTACAACCCTGACTGTTGATTATAATACATTTGTACTACCATTGGTCCTGTATACTACAACCCTGACTGTTGATTATAATACATTTGTACTACCATTGGTCCTGTATACTACAACCCTGACTGTTGATTATAATACATTTGTACTACCATTGGTCCTGTATACTACAACCCTGACTGTTGATTATAATACATTTGTACTACCATTGGTCCTGTATACTACAACCCTGACTGTTGATTATAATACATTTGTACTACCATTGGTCCTGTATACTACAACCCTGACTGTTGATTATTGACCATTGTACTATCATTTGTCCTGCTGTACTGACAAAAATAACTTATAATCATAATGGAACAGTTCTAGGACATCAAATTAACTGACAATTTTACATTTTAATGATAATTTTTTTGTAATTTCAGAATCATCTGGATTCAATAGTTCCACCCTTGATGTAAGTAAAATGTGAAACATGTTTATATATCCTCCTAAGTGTCTCCCCACTAGATGTAGGTAAAATGTGAAACATGTTTGTAAATCATCCTAAGTATCTCCCCACTAGATGTAGGTAAAATGTGAAACATGTTTGTAAATCATCCTAAGTATCTCCCCACTAGATGTAGGTAAAATGTGAAACATGTTTGTAAATCCTCCTAAGTATCTCCCCACTAGATGTAGGTAAAATGTGAAACATGTTTGTAAATCCTCCTAAGTATCTCCCCACTAGATGTAGGTAAAATGTGAAACATGTTTGTAAATCCTCCTAAGTATCTCCCCACTAGATGTAGGTAAAATGTGAAACATGTTTGTAAATCCTCCTAAGTATCTCCCCACTAGATGTAGGTAAAATGTGAAACATGTTTGTAAATCCTCCTAAGTATCTCCCCACTAGATGTAGGTAAAATGTGAAACATGTTTGTAAATCCTCCTAAGTATCTCCCCACTAGATGTAGGTAAAATGTGAAACATGTTTGTAAATCCTCCTAAGTATCTCCCCACTAGATGTAGGTAAAATGTGAAACATGTTTGTAAATCCTCCTAAGTATCTCCCCACTAGATGTAGGTAAAATGTGAAACATGTTTGTAAATCCTCCTAAGTATCTCCCCACTAGATGTAGGTAAAATGTGAAACATGTTTGTAAATCCTCCTAAGTATCTCCCCACTAGATGTAGGTAAAATGTGAAACATGTTTGTAAATCCTCCTAAGTATCTCCCCACTAGATGTAGGTAAAATGTGAAACATGTTTGTAAATCCTCCTAAGTATCTCCCCACTAGATGTAGGTAAAATGTGAAACATGTTTGTAAATCCTCCTAAGTATCTCCCCACTAGATGTAGGTAAAATGTGAAACATGTTTGTAAATCCTCCTAAGTATCTCCCCACTAGATGTAGGTAAAATGTGAAACATGTTTGTAAATCCTCCTAAGTATCTCCCCACTAGATGTAGGTAAAATGTGAAACATGTTTGTAAATCCTCCTAAGTATCTCCCCACTAGATGTAGGTAAAATGTGAAACATGTTTGTAAATCCTCCTAAGTATCTCCCCACTAGATGTAGGTAAAATGTGAAACATGTTTGTAAATCCTCCTAAGTATCTCCCCACTAGATGTAGGTAAAATGTGAAACATGTTTGTAAATCCTCCTAAGTATCTCCCCACTAGATGTAGGTAAAATGTGAAACATGTTTGTAAATCCTCCTAAGTATCTCCCCACTAGATGTAGGTAAAATGTGAAACATGTTTGTAAATCCTCCTAAGTATCTCCCCACTAGATGTAGGTAAAATGTGAAACATGTTTGTAAATCCTCCTAAGTATCTCCCCACTAGATGTAGGTAAAATGTGAAACATGTTTGTAAATCCTCCTAAGTATCTCCCCACTAGATGTAGGTAAAATGTGAAACATGTTTGTAAATCCTCCTAAGTATCTCCCCACTAGATGTAGGTAAAATGTGAAACATGTTTGTAAATCCTCCTAAGTATCTCCCCACTAGATGTAGGTAAAATGTGAAACATGTTTGTAAATCCTCCTAAGTATCTCCCCACTAGATGTAGGTAAAATGTGAAACATGTTTGTAAATCCTCCTAAGTATCTCCCCACTAGATGTAGGTAAAATGTGAAACATGTTTGTAAATCCTCCTAAGTATCTCCCCACTAGATGTAGGTAAAATGTGAAACATGTTTGTAAATCCTCCTAAGTATCTCCCCACTAGATGTAGGTAAAATGTGAAACATGTTTGTAAATCCTCCTAAGTATCTCCCCACTAGATGTAGGTAAAATGTGAAACATGTTTGTAAATCCTCCTAAGTATCTCCCCACTAGATGTAGGTAAAATGTGAAACATGTTTGTAAATCCTCCTAAGTATCTCCCCACTAGATGTAGGTAAAATGTGAAACATGTTTGTAAATCCTCCTAAGTATCTCCCCACTAGATGTAGGTAAAATGTGAAACATGTTTGTAAATCCTCCTAAGTATCTCCCCACTAGATGTAGGTAAAATGTGAAACATGTTTGTAAATCCTCCTAAGTATCTCCCCACTAGATGTAGGTAAAATGTGAAACATGTTTGTAAATCCTCCTAAGTATCTCCCCACTAGATGTAGGTAAAATGTGAAACATGTTTGTAAATCCTCCTAAGTATCTCCCCACTAGATGTAGGTAAAATGTGAAACATGTTTGTAAATCCTCCTAAGTATCTCCCCACTAGATGTAGGTAAAATGTGAAACATGTTTGTAAATCCTCCTAAGTATCTCCCCACTAGATGTAGGTAAAATGTGAAACATGTTTGTAAATCCTCCTAAGTATCTCCCCACTAGATGTAGGTAAAATGTGAAACATGTTTGTAAATCCTCCTAAGTATCTCCCCACTAGATGTAGGTAAAATGTGAAACATGTTTGTAAATCCTCCTAAGTATCTCCCCACTAGATGTAGGTAAAATGTGAAACATGTTTATAAATCCTCCTAAGTATCTCCCCACTAGATGTTTGCTCCCTAGACTGAAAATGTGAAGCATGTAGGTAACTCTGTAATGTATCCTTTTGTTTATCAATGTAAGTAAATTATGAAGCTGAAGCCTGAAGTTACATTTAAAGCCCTCCCTCCCTTGATTAAGTAAATGTTGAAGTTACATTTGAAGCCCTCCCTCCCTGGATTAAGTACATGCTGATTGCTGTTCTTGTATTAACAGAATCTACACGGAGATGAGGAACACTCGGGGACATTTGATATTCCTGTCTTTACAGAGGAGTTCCTTGACCACAACAAAGGTATTTCATTGGTCAACACATTCACATGACCAAAACAATGGTATTTCATTGGTCAACACAATCACATGACCAAAACAATGGTATTTCATTGGTCAACACATTCACATGGTCACTTGTGTTTTTTGTTCACTTGATCATTAGCTGTGAACCTTTGTCCACCCATCCATTAATATTACCTCATTTTTGATTTCTTAGAACTTTATAAGCATCGTACACTTTGTAAGTAGGCTAAATATTTTCTATTTGTTCACATGGGGAGGTTCGGCCTCATAGGGACCAGGGAATAGTTACTTTAATCTTCTTGTCAGATTTGGCGCATGTCAGTGGTTTGATTCTTTCAAATATGGCAAAACCTCATAAACAAAACTAAGGTAAGCCTGAGCTACCAAAGATATACATACAGTATAAGAAGTTAAATAATCTTCTTCTCAGATATACACAAGTATTGACTATTTTTGAGGCATTGTCATGGAAGTCCTTATTGTGAACCAAAGTGTGTGTGTGTAGGTGTCTGTGTTTAATCATTTACAGCACGGGAGTCGGAGCTTCGACAGCTAAGGAAACAGACAACAGAGCTGGAGGAGCAGAACGCCATCCTCAGTAAACACATAGACAACATGAAACAGGCTATAGACAAACTGGAGGTAGAGTCGGTACAGCAGCGGAGCTCCAACATGGCACTGCAGGGTCACCTGGACGCTCTGAGGGCCTCTCTCACCTCACACTTCTCGGCTATCCCACTACCAGGTATGTACAACATGGCTCTTCAAGGTCACCTGGACGCTCTGAGGGCCTCCCTTACCTCACACTTCTCGGCTATCCCACTCCCAGTTATGGAGTCACCTGGACGCTCTGAGGGCCTCTCTCACCTCACACTTCTCAGCTATCCCACTCCCAGGTATGTACAACATGGCTCTTCAGGGTCACCTGGACATTCTGAGGGCCTCTCTAACCTCACACTTCTCAGCTATCCCACTCCAAGGTATGTACAACATGGCGCTTCAGGGTCACCTGGACATTCTGAGGGCCTCTCTCGCCTCTCACTTCTCAGCGATCCCACTCCAAGGTATGTACAACATGGCGCTGCAGGGTCACCTGGACGTTCTGAGGGCCTCTCTCACCTCACACTTCTCAGCTATCCCATTCCCAGGTATGTACAACATGGCTCTTCAGGGTCACCTTGACGCTCTGTGGGCCTCCCTTACCGCTCACTTCTCAGCTACCCCACTCCCAGGTATGTAGTCACCTGGACGCTCTGAGGGCCTCTCTCCCCTCTCACTTCTCAGCTATCCCTCTCCCAGGTATGTAGTCCCATATTGTCTGATGTACAGGGTCACCTTGACGCTCTGAGGGCCTCCCTCACCTCTCACTTCTCAGCTATCCCACTACCAGGTATGTAGTCGCACATTGTCTGATGTACAGGGTCACCTGGACACTCTGAGGGCCTCCCTTACCTCTCACTTCTCAGCTATCCCACTACCAGGTATGTAGTCCCACATTGTCTGATGTACAGGGTCACCTTGACGCTCTGAGGGACTCCCTCACCTCTCACTTCTCAGCTATCCCACTCCCAGGTATGTAGTCCAACATTGTCTGATGTACAGGGTCACCTAGACACTCTGAGGGCCTCCCTTACCTCTCACTTCTCAGCTATCCCACTACCAGGTATGTATAACATGGCGCTGCAGTGTCACCTGGACGCTCTGTGGGCCTCTCTCGCCTCTCACTTTCGGCTATCCCACTCCCAGGTATGTAGTCCCACATTGTCTGATGTACAGGGTCACCTAGACACTCTGTGGGCCTCCCTCACCTCTCACTTCTCAGCTACCCCACTCCCAGGTATGTAGTCCCACATTGTCTGATGTACAGGGGCACCTAGACACTCTGTGGGCCTCCCTCACCTCTCACTTCTCAGCTACCCCACTCCCAGGTATGTAGTCACCTGTCTCCGAGGGCCTCTCTCACCTCACACTTCTCGGCTATCCCACTCCCAGGTATGTTCAACATGGCTCTATAAGGTCACCTGGACGCTCTGAGGGCCTCTCTAACCTCTCACTTCTCAGCTATCCCACTCCCAGGTATGTACAACATGGCACTGCAGGGTCACCTTGACGCTCTGAGGGCCTCCCTTACCGCTCACTTCTCAGCTACCCCACTCCCAGGTATGTAGTCACCTGTCTCCGAGGGCCTCTCTCACCTCACACTTCTCGGCTATCCCACTCCCAGGTATGTTCAACATGGCTCTATAAGGTCACCTGGACGCTCTGAGGGCCTCCCTTACCTTACACTTCTCGGCTATCCCACTCCCAGTTATGTAGTCACCTGGACGCTCTGAGGGCCTCTCTCACCTCACACTTCTCAGCTATCCCACTCCAAGGTATATACAACATGGCGCTGCAGGGTCACCTGGACGTTCTGAGGGCCTCTCTCACCTCACACTTCACAGCTATCCCATTCCCAGGTATGTACAACATGGCTCTTCAGGGTCACCTTGACGCTCTGTGGGCCTCTCTCGCCTCTCACTTTCGGCTATCCCACTACCAGGTATGTACAACATGGCGCTGCAGGGTCACCTTGACGCTCTGTGGGCCTCTCTCGCCTCTCACTTTCGGCTATCCCACTACCAGGTATGTACAACATGGCGCTGCAGGGTCACCTTGACGCTCTGTGGGCCTCTCTCGCCTCTCACTTTCGGCTATCCCACTACCAGGTATGTACAACATGGCGCTGCAGGGTCACCTGGACGTTGTGAGGGCCTCTCTCACCTCACACTTCACAGCTATCCCATTCCCAGGTATGTACAACATGGCGCTGCAGGGTCACCTGGACGTTCTGAGGGCCTCTCTCACCTCACACTTCACAGCTATCCCATTCCCAGGTATGTACAACATGGCTCTTCAGGGTCACCTTGACGCTCTGTGGGCCTCTCTTACCTCTCACTTCTCAGCTATCCCACTCCCAGGTATGTAGTCCCACATTGTCTGATGTACAGGGTCACCTAGACACTCTGAGGGCCTCCCTTACCTCTCACTTCTCAGCTACCCCACTACCAGGTATGTAGTGCCATATTGTCTGATGTACAGGGTCACCTGGACGCCCTGAGGGCCTCTCTCACCTCTCACTTCTCAGCTATCCCACTACCAGGTATGTATAACATGGCGCTGCAGTGTCACCTGGACGCTCTGAGGGCCTCTCTAACCTCTCACTTCTCAGCTATCCCACTCCCAGGTATGTACAACATGGCGCTGCAGTGTCACCTGGACGCTCTGTGGGCCTCTCTCGCCTCTCACTTTCGGCTATCCCACTCCCAGGTATGTACAACATGGCACTGCAGGGTCACCTTGACGCTCTGTGGGCCTCTCTCGCCTCTCCCTTTCGGCTATCCCACTCCCAGGGATGTACAACATGGCACTGCAGGGTCACCTTGACGCTCTGAGGGCCTCCCTTACCTCACACTTCTCGGCTATCCCACTCCCAGCTATGTAGTCACCTGGACGCTCTGAGGGCCTCTCTTACCCCTCACTTCTCAGCTCTCCTCCTACCAGGTATGTATAACATGGCGCTGCAGTGTCACCTGGAGTATGTATAACATGGCGCTGCAGTGTCACCTGGAGTATGTATAACATGGCGCTGCAGTGTCACCTGGACGCTCTGTGGTCCTCTCTCGCCTCTCACTTTCGGGTATCCCACTCCCAGGTATGTACAACTTGGCTCTATATGGTCACCTGGACGCTCTGAGGGCCTCTCTAAACTCACACTTCTCAGCTATCCGACTCCAAGGTATGTACAACATGGCTTTATAAGGTCACCTGGACGCTCTGAGGGTCTCTCTTACCTCACACTTCTCAGCGATCCCACTCCAAGGTATATTCTTCCCAGGTATGTACAACATGGCTCTGCTGGGTCTCCTTGACGCTCTGAGGGCCTCTCTAACCTCACCCTTCTCAGCTATTCCCAGGTATGTACAACATGGCACCGCAGGGTCACCTTGACGCTCTGTGGCCCTCTCTCGCCTCTCACTTTCGGGTATCCCACTCCCAGGTATGTACAACATGGCTCTTCAGGGTCACCTTGACGCTCTGTGGCCCTCTCTCGCCTCTCACTTTCGGGTATCCCACTCCCAGGTATGTACAACATGGCTCTGCTGGGTCTCCTTGACGCTCTGAGGGCCTCTCTTCCCCATCCCTTCCCAGCTACCCCACTCCAAGGTATGTACACCATGGCTCTGCAGGGTCACCTGGACGCTCTGTGGGCCTCCCTCGCCTCCCCCTTTCGGCTATCCCACTCCCAGGGATGTACAACATGGCACTGCAGGGTCACCTTGACGCTCTGTGGCCCTCTCTCGCCTCTCACTTTCGGCTATCCCACTACCAGGTATGTATAGCAAGGCGCTGCAGTGTCACCTGGACGCTCTAGTGTCACCTGGACGCTCTGAGGGCCTATCTTACCTCACACTTCTCAGCGATCCCACTCCAAGGTATGTACAACATGGCTTTATAAGGTCACCTGGACGCTCTGTGGGCCTCTCTCGCCTCTATAAGGTCACCTGGACGCTCAGAGGGCCTCTCTAACCTCACACTTCTCAGCTATCCAACTCCAATGTATGTACAACATGGCTCTATAAGGTCACCTGGACGCTCTGAGGGCCTATCTTACCTCACACTTCTCAGCGATCCCACTCCAAGGGATATACAACATGGCGCTGCAGGGTCACCTGGACGTTCTGAGGGCCTCTCTAACCTCTCATTTCTCAGCTATCCCATTCCCAGGTATGTACATCATGGCTCTGCAGGGTCACCTTGACGCTCTGTGGCCCTCTCTCGCCTCTCACTTTCGGGTATCCCACTCCCAGGTATGTACAACTTGGCTCTATATGGTCACCTGGACGCTCTGAGGGCCTATCTTACCTCACACTTCTCAGCGATCCCACTCCAAGGTATATACTTCCCAGGTATGTACAACATGGCTCTGCTGGGTCTCCTTGACGCTCTGAGGGCCTCTCTAACCTCACCCTTCTCAGCTATTCCCAGGTATGTACAACATGGCACTGCAGGGTCACCTTGACGCTCTGAGGGCCTCTCTAACCTCTCACTTCTCAGCGATCCCACTCCCAGGTATGTACAACATGGCTCTTCAGGGTCACCTTGACGCTCTGTGGCCCTCTCTCGCCTCTCACTTTCGGGTATCCCACTCCCAGGTATGTACAACTTGGCTCTATATGGTCACCTGGACGCTCTGAGGGCCTCCCTCACCGCTCACTTCTCAGCTACCCCACTACCAGGTATGAAGTCACCATTGTATGATGTACAGGGTCACCTGGACACTATGAGGGCCTCCCTGACCTCTCACTTCTCAGCTATCCCACTCCCACGTATGTAGTCCCACATTGTCTGATGTACAGGGTCACCTTGACGCTCTGAGGGCCTCCCTCACCGCTCACTTCTCAGCTACCCCACTACCAGTAGTCCCATATTGTCTGATGTACAGGGTCCCCTGGACGCTCTGAGGGCCTCTCTCCCATTGTCTGATGTACAGGGTCACCTTGACGCTCTGAGGGCCTCTCTAACCTCTCACTTCTCAGCTATCCCACTCCCACGTATGTAGTCCCACATTGTCTGATGTACAGGGTCACCTTGACGCTCTGAGGGCCTCTCTAACCTCTCACTTCTCAGCGATCCCACTCCCAGGTATGTACAACTTGGCTCTATATGGTCACCTGGACGCTCTGAGGGCCTCTCTTACCTCACACTTCTCAGCTACCCCACTCCAAGGTATGTACAACATGGCTCTGCAGGGTCACCTGGACGTTCTGAGGGCCTCTCTCACCTCACACTTTCAGCTATCCCATTCCCAGGTATGTACAACATGGCTCTATAAGGTCACCTGGACGCTCTGAGGGCCCCTCTTACCTCACACTTCTCAGCGATCCCACTCCAAGGTATATAAAACATGGCGCTGCAGGGTCACCTGGACGTTCTGAGGGCCTCTCTCACCTCACACTTTCAGCTATCCCATTCCCAGGTATGTACAACATGGCTCTGCAGGGTCACCTTGACGCTCTGTGGGCCTCTCTTACCCCTCACTTCTCAGCTACCCTAATACCAGGTATGTAGTCCCATATTGTCTGATGTACAGGGTCACCTGGACACTCTGTGGGCCTCCCTTACCTCTCACTTCTCAGCTATCCCACTCCCAGGTATCTACAACATGGCGTTGCAGGGTCACCTTGACGCTCTGTGGGCCTCTCTTGCCCCTCACTTCTCAGCTACCCTAATACCAGGTATGTAGTCCCATATTGTCTGATGTACAGGGTAACCTGGACGCTCTGAGGGCCTCCCTTACCTCTCACTTCTCAGCTACCCCACTCCCAGATATGTAGTCACTTGGACGCTCTGAGGGCCTCTCTCCCCTCTCACTTCTCAGCTATCCCACTTCCAGGTATGTAGTCCCATATTGTCTGATGTTCAGGGTCACCTGGACACTCTGAGGGCCTCTCTCACCTCTCACTTCTCAGCTATCCCACTCCCAGGTATCTACAACATGGCGTTGCAGGGTCACCTTGACGCTCTGTGGGCCTCTCTAACCTCTCACTTCTCGGCTATCCCACTCCCAGTTATGTAGTCACCTGGACGCTCTGAGGGCCTCTCTCACCTCACACTTCTCGGCTATCCCACTCCAAGGTATGTACAACATGGCGCTTCAGGGTCACCTGGACACTCTGAGGGCCTCCCTTACCTCTCACCTCTCAGCTATCCCGCTACCAGGTATGTAGTCCCACAGTGTCTGATGTACAGGGTCACCTGGACACTCTGAGGGCCTCCCTTACCTCTCACTTCTCAGCTACCCCACTACCAGGTATGTACAACATGGCTCTGCAGGGTCACCTTGACGCTCTGTGGGCCTCCCTTACCTCTCACTTCTCAGCTACCCCACTCCCAGGTATGTAGTCTCATATTGTCTGATGTCTAGGTTTAAGGGGACACTTGATGGTCGGGTGGAGCAGTTAATTGCGCACTTGCCTCTTACCAAGGCGGCTGGGATTTCCGGTCAGATGTGAAAAGGTATGGAGTCGCCTGCTCGACAACATGGGCTTCTTACGGGTACTCCTGTTTCCTCCCACATTAAGACCTGTGCATGATAAAATCTAGGCTAAAAAGAATTATTAATATAAGCTAAAATAACATGTTTCATAATTGTTGTTATAAATCAAATTGATATATAAGGGAAACCTAACCAAGCTGGAAAAACTCGGTTCATTTAACACTTAACTTGCTCAGGATTAAATGATCAGTCTTGTTTTGTATAATACCCTTGTACATACAACATATTTTTTCATGATTTACAAAAATGTATGCCAGGAATAAGTTAGGGGTAATTAGCTGTGTGTCATGATTTGATTTTCTGTGCTGTGTAATCTGTGTGTTTGTGTAGAAAAATACATGTTTATTGATTGCTGAATTCAGAATTTCAGTAAAATTCTGAAATAAAGATAATAAATGTTAACTGTCATATTTAATTCATAGATTTTGTCCATCAGCATTGCTGGAAATTACTTATAAAATGTGATATTTGTACAGGTACTGGTGAACTTCCCACTATTGACACTATTGATGCGTATATGGCTAAACTACACAGCCTCATTCTGGAGTCTCCACAGGACCACGAATCACTCATAGCAACTGTTCGGGATATTCTTGGGCGACTGAACATTGAAGGGTAGGTAGCTCCTGTGTTTTTGAGGGCACAAGTGTATGCTTGTTAACCCTTTCACCCCGAGGTAACTTGAGTAGACTCTACCATACATTTATCTGGATGAGTCCATTCTGGTCTACAGTGGTGTAAGGGTTAGTAAGGAGCCTCATACAAATGGTTGAGGAGTCCTTTCGAGGAAATAATACCATAGAGAGTTAGGAATATTTGTAAAGGTTTATGATGCAGTAAAGAACACCTGATGTACATGTTGTATAGGTCAGGTTTTCTTGTGTCCACCATAGCGTCTCCACCATAGCGTCTCCACCATAGCGTCTCCGCCATAGCGTCGCCACCATAGCGTCGCCACCATAGCGTCTCCACCATAGCGTCGCCACCATAGCGTCCCCACCATAGCGTCTCCACCATAGCGTCTCCACCATAGCTTCTCCACCATAGCGTCTCCACCATAGCGTCTCCTCCATAGCGTCTCCACCATAGCGTCTCCACCATAGCGGCTCCACCATAGCGTCTCCACCATAGCGTCGCCACCATAGGGTCTCCACCATAGCGTCGCCACCATAGCGTCGCCACCATAGCGTCTCCACCATAGCGTCCCCACCATAGCGTCTCCACCATAGCGTTTCCACCATAGCGTCTCCACCATAGCGTCTCCACCATAGCTTCTCCACCATAGCGTCTCCACCATAGCGTCTCCTCCATAGCGTCTCCACCATAGCGTCTCCACCATAGCGCCGCCACCATAGCGTCGCCACCATAGCGTCTCCACCATAGCGTCCCCACCATAGCGTCTCCACCATAGCGTTTCCACCATAGCGTCTCCACCATAGCGTCTCCACAATAGCGTCTCCACCATAGCGTCGCCACCATAGCGTCGCCACCATAGTGAACGTCTCAAAAGCAGCATCTTAAAGAAGCACCTCAACAGAGAAAATTGGAAAAATATATTGATGAACTGTAAATGTCTAAGCTTAAAAAGTTAATTGATTTTAACCCTTTCAACACTGTAGACCATAATGGACTCATCCAGATCAATTTATGGAAGAGGTTATTAAAGTTACATAGGGGTGAAAGGGTTAAGTAGAAATGTATCGGGTTTTGATAACATTTAAGGGAGTAACACGTTCATACAGCCAGTTTTGACTTCTTTTATAGGAAAATTATTTGAAATTTTGATAAACATATGATGTTTTTATGTACAGCTGTCTCTAATAGTATCTTTTATATTTCAGAGATAAATTATGAAGGATGGCTTAGAAACTCTTGGATTACGTCATCAGCTTTAACCACGGGAACTCGTCAATGTTGTAAACTGATAACTGTATAGCACCGCTGAGCAAAATACTGGGCTGCTTTTGGTATCACGTTCCAAATGGTTGGACCAGAGTTGTTCATTTATGAAGAAGGGCGGACCTCTTGATTTGATGTTGTTTTCTGGTGAGCCTTGGTAAAGACTTACAAGGCCTGTATTTACATTTACAGATCCGTCAGGCTTTTCCCCGTGAATATTATATTTTATAATAGACAAATCAGTGTGTTCAGGATGAACAGACCCCCGTTTTATTAGTGACTCACTTGGTTACTCTCTGTGAGAGTGAAGTGGGTCAATAAGAAAGTTTTAGCGGTTCCATTGAGACAGTGGAGTGACATCACAGACAGCCAAACCATCTTCCATTTTGACCCTAGATTTGATGATAAGTACTGGCAATATTAAGTTATTTATATGATCAAGCATTTTTAAGGATCCTGGGTGCAATAACTTTGCAATTTAATGTAATGGATAATTCATATTATTCAAAAATATCAATTAACTTAGAAATATTGGGGTTATATTTGAGTATTATGAATCCCCATCCATGATGTTTGTGGCTGAGTGCAAGACTATTGTGTGTTGCTGGACATACCTAATTGATCGGTCAGTCAACAAACAGGTCAATTAATACTGACCATTTGATTGGTCAGTCAGCAAACAGGTAATACTGACCGTCTATCATTCTGTTATGGGTCAATGACTACTACACCTGAAGGTATAGCGGTGTACAGGGACTGAGTGCTTGTAGTAACGGTGTAAATTTGTGTAACCCATGGTTACAGGCTAGTAGTATCCCCATCACACATGTGTCCATTATTTATTTTCTGACTATTAATAAATCAACAGAATACAAAAAAGTAATTTAGTTATTTTTTAGCTCACCTGACTAGAAGTAAGTTTATATATACCATGGAGTAACACTCGTTGTCCATCCAGTGTCAATTTATTATCTGTAAGTGCTAAGAGGCCTAGGGTGATGATATTTGGCCAGGATGAAGGGCTACAAAGTTAGTTCAAATGTATGACCTTCATCCATATTCAAGGTTACAGGTGAAATTTGTTGAAATCACCAAATGGTCCAGCCAGGGTGATGATATTAGGCCAGTAGCATGCTCTGATGAACATCTACCAGGTTTGTTCAAAGTAATATCCTTCACCAAAATGCAAGGTCACCGGGGTCAATTGTCTTCAAAAATGTTCAACAACTTCTGAATAATCAACAGTCTAGGGTGACGATATTTAGCCAGTAACATGCTGGGGTGAATGGCTACCAAGTTTGTTAAAATGAATGACTCAACTCATATTCAAGGTCACAGGGGTCAAATATGTTAAAAACCTAAAGGCCCTGGGTGATGATATATGGCAAGTAAAATATTTGGATGAAGTCATACCAGGTTTGCTTGAATAAATGACCTTCACCCTTATAAAAGGTCACAGGGTCAAATATTTTTAAAACAACTTCTTTTGAACCAAAATGGCTAGGGCGACAATATTTGGCCAGTGGCATGCTGGGATGAAGGGCTACCAAGTTTGTTCAAATGAATGACCTACGACCAAAATGTCATGTGTTAAATTTGTTAAATTCAAAAATGTGTTAACTTGAGAAATAATTAAACAAAGTCTGAATAACCAAAAGGTTTGTGATAATTGTTGAGTTACAAGTAGATGCTCAGATAACAGCTACAAGGTTTGTCCAACTTAATGACCTTCACCAATATTCAAGGTCACAGGGGTCAAATGTGTTGAAAAAAATTGATGGTTTATCTGAATAACCAAATGCATATGATGGTGGTATTAGGCCCATAGCATGCTGAGATGAAAAGCCATCAAATTTGTTCATGTGAATGACCTTGACCTGCTTTCAAGGTCACAAATAGTCAAATGCTTATAAACATTTAAATGACCTCATCTCAAGAAACGATTCAAAGGTCTAGGGTAGTGGTGGTAAGTTGCATTCTGGGATGAAGGGCAATACAGTTTGCTTGATTGAATGACCTGTTATACCTTCGAGGTCACAGGGGTTAAATGTGATAAAATCTTTTAGCAGGTTCTTTTGAATGACTTAAGAGTCCTGGATACATCGACAGTTTAAATAGAGTTCATGACAACAACAGCACCACATACGGTTGTAATAGAGTTAATGACAACAACAGCACCGCATACGGATGTAATAGAGTTAATGACAACAACAGCACCGCATACGGATGCAATAGAGTTAATGACAACAACAGAACCGCATACGGATGTAATAGAGTTAATGACAACAACAGCACCACATACGGATGTAATAGAGTTAATGACAACAACAGCACCGCATACGGATGCAATAGATTTAATGACAACAACAGCACCTCATACGGATGTAATAGAGTTAATGACACCAACAGCACCGCATACGAATGTAATAGAGTTAATGACAACAACAGCACCGCATACGGATGCAATAGAGTTAATGCCAACAACAGCACCGCATACGGATGTAATAGAGTTAATGACAACAACAGCACCGCATACGAAAGCAAAAAAGGACAATGATACTTTCTAAATATCTCAAGGTTCGAATACACGACGTATTTCATATGATACTGTAATAAAATATATAACCTGTAACTGAGTGAGAGGGTTATCTCAGTCGAGGGCCAAGATTCTATAACATAACCCCAACGAAGGTTGGGATGTTACAGAATCTTAGCCTTTCTCGTACCTTTCAGTTCGGAAAAAAACCTATTAAATATTACTAAAGACTATAAGTTTTCCGTCTGGGGTCTCAAATAAAAATAGCCTCTGCACTACTAAAGTTACATTTGAATGTGTCCGCGTAAAAATATAGTCCGTCCCTACAAAGGAGACAACTTATTTCACAGTGTAGATTATATTTTATCTTCAGCATCAAAACAATACATTTAACAACAAAACATAATATTTGTAATGCTGATTGTCAACTTCAAGCCATTAACGCGCGGATAAATGTATCGCAGTGTTAAAATTCCGCGAAATGTCACGTAAAGGTACGAGACGGATGAGATAGAAAAATCTAGCATGAGGTATTACGTTGGATATCTGTCTGAGGTGCGAGAAAAGCTTATCAAGTTCGTCATGTACATGTAATAGATTCTAAAACATATGAATTATAATTATCATGTTTCACCAAAGTTTGTGATGTGCTATATTTCCATGCAGTAATTGATATCATAGTTTTTGAATACAATTCTTAAAAAATGTAAATAACAAATATATCAATCGATCTCGATGTATTTTCAAAGCAAATTTCACAGGAACGTAGGGCTACAGTCACATTTCTTGGAAATTTCACAGGAACGTAGGGCTACAGTCACACTCCATGGAAATTTCACAGGAACGTAGGGCTACAGTTACACTCCATGGAAATTTCACAGGAACGTAGGGCTACAGTCACACTCCATGGAAATTTCACAGGAACGTAGGGCTACAGTCACATTCCATGTACACATTTAGACTTTGGTTGTTGTTCAAGCACATACATTTTAATTTCAAAAGAGCATTGTTCTTTCCGAGTATTCTTTTAAAGACGCAAATACTCAAATTGACCGTATTTGCGTCCGTCACTCCTACCTGATGGCAGTTATCGCCTTCATTTATGCATAAAACTAATTCTTTATTATCTCGATATGAGTCAAATTAGGTACGTTTAACCATAAACGTCTCTAGTTTAACTATAAATCCAAAAAAATACTTCAGTTATAGTAGTGTGCCGTCAAACAGGTTTACAGAAAGCCTTTTCAATGAATGTAAATTGACCAAAGCATTGTGAATCCAAATCACCTGCCTACCAACGTTAACGTTATAAACCGTGTTTATGTAAACTTTGGTTTGCGGACAATCAAGTAGAATGTAACGGCTTGACGATCTATCCGGTGAAAATTTCCAAATCAAGTTACTTGGTTTTACTCCTGTAAATGTTCCTCTTAAATATATATGTCTGGGAGACATTTGTTCGCAATGAAGACGCTTTTTGCCTAGGAAACAGATTTGTTTTTTACTTTGCCTTGGAAACAGAAGTATTTGCGCCGGGATTTTTTTTTTTTTTTTTTTGCATGAATGTTTCGGGTGTAATCCCATCAAGTATACGAGTCTAACCAGAGTTATCGTTCCTTCAACTCTCTTGAAACGACAGGTTATGATTCAAGAGTTGCCTCCCTTGGACCTTGTCACACTGTCCTAGCTAGAGATGTATGGAGCGACGGGGGATCAATGAAAATATTGAGATTCTTTTCAGACACTATATGTAATTGTGTTTATGGCACCCTATATACAGTATATACAACATGAATGATACGATTGTAACAATTCACCGATGCATGGAAATAAATGTCACTGTTTCCTGGGCATGTATGACTGATATAATAGTTACTCCACACAACATGAAACATATTTACCTGTTGCCATTCCTCGCTAAAGTCACTGAAAAGTTACCAAGTTTCACCTTTAAAAGCTACCGAGGCGTCCACAAAGGATCTTTAATTTTTAACAACACATCATAATCATAAGATCAGTTTATTTCCGATAAAGAAATCTTGTCTGAACTTCTACACCAGACGGGTGTAATAATACGTATTAAACAATGATTCATGTGATAACATAACCAACCTATTTGGTAAAACGTTGTTGGAATATGACATCAGATGATTGCAATATTAGATAACACTCAATCTATGGTCGGGGTTGAAGTCATCGCAAGGGTCATTATAAAGATGGGTGAAGCGATGCTATATTATGACAGAGCAGCTTGTCCTCAAAATGACAAAACTGTTTAATCCGACACCCTCCGGTATCCAACGCTTAATTTATTTTATATACTTTATATTATACAGTTACATAATTCCTTATAGGTTAAGTTGCAACTTACACTCTGTTGCCTTTGTTAGTATGTTAACGTATAAGATATTTGATGTAGAGTGTCTATATACATGCTATAAGTTGTGGCAGTATCGGGGATGTATTAACCATACATTAACGTATAAGATATTTGATGTAGAGTGTCTGTATACATGCTATAAGTTGTGGCAGTATCGGGGATGTATTAACCATACATTAACGTATAAGATATTTGATGTAGACTGTCTATATACATGCTATAAGTTGTGGCAGTATCGGGGATGTATTAACCATACATTAACGTATAAGATATTTGATGTAGACTGTCTATATACATGCTATAAGTTGTGGCAGTATCGGGGATGTATTAACCATACGTTAACGTGGATCCCCTCACATAAGTTATGCAGATGAACGTTTCGATTCATTTCAGCATCCGCCCTCAATATATGCACTAGAAATCAATAACGAGTTGAATCGCGGATAAGTGCAAAATGAGTAATTAAAGCACATGAAGCAATGTATCACTGTTAAAATGGTGTGTATTTACACGATGTATTAATGCGGGGTAATAACTTTGATAACAGACTGTGGTATCAAGCTTGATTGAGGTTTGGATATATAATTCAAACATCAATGTATGTGTTGTAATGAACGTTTGCAAATTAGGTACCGGGAATAGGACTTACACAAATCAGAAAAAAAGAGAAATCAGTCAGCTTATTTAGCAAATTGGATAGTAAATATTAAAACAAACAAAAAACACTTAAAACAAGAGATAATAGAAAAGCTTTCCGTAGAACTAGTAATGGCGATCTAACGATGGTTGGCGCCAAGATCCCAGAATTGCCTTTATGTATTGCTATCTCCATTTGACCCCTATTCTATTCCATCATCAGGTGCAGTTAGTTAAATGTTATTTTACGATCATGCTATTCTGCTAATATTTAATGCTGGTTTTAAATTTACTTCTTTTCTTAAAATTCTTGTTATGAACTTTTGT